AATACAGGGATAAATTAAACAAAAAATTAAGGTAGAATGACTAAATGAACACAAGACTATAGTACAGGGACTCATATGTACTTTGACCTTTAGCATCTCATAATAGGGTAGTAATATTTGAATTTAATTTTTGTGTATTTTAAAATATGTTATGAAATATTAGAATAGATTAAATTAAAGATGAAATGTTCACTACCAACTAGCATGTAGTATAATGAGTAATGGCATCATGATTATCCTTCCTTCTACATAGTGAAATAGATGGTCATAGTTTCTTGCTTGAATTGGCCTGGTAACGATTATTAATGAAACAAGTCTTCATATCAGGAGACATTGATAACAATGGGAACAGCAGGGAGATGCAGATTGCGGCTTTGGGTTTCAAGCTCCCATGTATCATCTTCACCCATGTTAATCCAAGCTTCAATCCCATCCCACTTTTTGTGCTCATCAATATAACAACATTCTTGTACGGAAAAGTTGTTGTGCATGCCCAAACAGGCCTTCCCCAACCGAAATCTACCTCGTATATTGGAAACCTACACCAGCTGCTAAAACTGCAGAACTCTGCTTCTCCTTTACAGAACATTTCTTGCGCTTTATGGAGATTTTCCAGATAGGCATTGCTGTTTTGCAAAGCTTTTGCGTATTCGGCGTTGATTTTTCTTATGGAAGTCCTCAGTTGAGACACTAAATCGTCGTCTTGGGTTGTCTCCGGCGACGTTACGGCTATCGCCGGTCGCCATGGGTTTCCGAAAGTCACGTCCGGAGCGGTGGTTCATCCTCGCGCGGAGGTTCACGGCGTGGACGGCGACGGAAGTGTGTTGGGGATTTTTACGGCTGGCGGCCGCCCTGAAATGCTTCCACAGGAAGGCGGAGAGGCCTCCACGCGCGTGTGGCCTCCACTCGCCGCCGCGGATTTCTTCAGAGCCGCCAGTTTTTCTTTGCCGAACACCACGCGCCGGGTGACGATCTTCTCCCTCGTCATGCCACGGACGGCGAGAATCCGGAAACGGACAGGTCCGCTGTGGTTGGCGGGAAGAGGGACGGCAGCAACCCGAAACCCGGCGGCGAGATTCCGGCGACGTCTCCTTCACGCGCGGCGACGGCCCATGCATTGACGAAGTTAACCAGAGAGAGACCATCGCCGATCTTGTGCGACATGCAAACCCCGACGGCTATTCCGCCGTCAAGAAAATAGTTTATTTGAACGGCCAGGATTAACTGCCCATCATCGCCTTTATATAAGGCTCAACCGGAAGAAACTTGTTTAATTCCTCCATTAATGGATTCTCAACCACATCTTTGAGGAAGCCATGAACGCGAGCTTCGACCCACAGTGCGCCATCATCACTACAATCAATGAAATCATTTCTTTGAGCCGTCCAGCTAAGGGATAAAACAGGATAAGACCTTTGATAAAGATTGCTTTAGCTTTTGTGATGAACGGCCATGATCATCTTCTTCACCATCTGCAGCATGATGGAGAAGAAGAAGATGAGAGGGATGAAAACGGCGGTGAGATTTGATCAAGAAAGGATAGTTTGAGGTTTTGAGGTGAGGTGGAGTTGGTGATGATGGCTTCATCATCATCTCTTTGGAAAGTAATTCCACTTTGAACATCATCCTCAAAACTGTATATATTTTTGGTAACTTTCTTTTATTAGTATGTATATATGGACTATATGGAGACCAATGCTTGGCTGATTGATAGTTTGGTTGGTGCACAAATATGTGCCTCTTTGATGTGTTTATATAGAGGAAGAGGTATATTTGGCGATGGTGATGTTTCAACCAAATTTAGGGAGTATAGACAATTGTAGGGATTTTTAGTTCTTATTAATGTTGCATTATTTTTTCGAATTACTATTCAAATCTAAATATTATATTTGATTTAAAAATACTACATATTTCATAAAAGTATACATTTTCTTTATAAGTAATAAATAATTTATGGCAATTAAAAATTTGTGTGAGAATGTCTCACGGTCTCAATCCGTAAGACATGTCGAATCTTTGATTAATGAAGTCAAAGATTTGATTCATTAATCAAAGATCCGACTCATCTCACGGATTGAGACCCGTGAGACGGTCTCACCCAAATCCATAATTTATTTATTATTAGTATTACATTTTCTATAATGATCCGACCCATTTCACGAATTAAAAATTTGTGATACGGTCTCACACAAGTGTGACTCATATAGTTTGGTTCTTATGTAAATTTAATTATTCTTATTGTATCATTATGTAATTGAAATTTCCAACCTAACTTCCAAATATGTTAAGACTAATTAGAATTAAACTTATAAGAAACTTGTACTCATTAGAGAATAATGGTTGGTTGATTGATAGTTTGGTACACAAATATGTGCGTCTTTGATGTGTTTATGTAGAGAAGAGGAATGGCGATGTGATGTTTCAACTGCAAGCTAAGTTTAGGGAGTATAGACAATTCTAGCTCATAAGGAATAGAAATGATATATTTTTTAAAAGACATAAATGCCCTTATAAAAATATGTGAGGTGTTGGTGATGGTGGTGGCGGCGATAGTGGCGGCGATGGCGGCGGTGGTGGCGGTGGCGTGGTGACGACGATGGTGGTGGTACGATGGTGGCGGCGGCGGTGATGGCAGTGGTGCTGGTGGTGCTACGAGTCTGATATTTTATGAGCAATGGTGATTTTTATAACTATTACATTTTTTCATATATAAGTATTACAATTTTCTATTATAAGTAACTTTTCAATTTTTAATATTGCATTTTGATTTAAAAGTATAACATTTTTCATCAAACGTATCACATTTTTCCTCGTAAATATTATATTTTCTCTCATAAGTAACAATTAAACAATTTATCCATAATTAATATTACATTTTTTCTCATATAAGTAACTATTAAATCTAAGTATTATATTTTGATTTAGAAATAACAAATAATTTATTCATAATTAGTATTACATTTTCCATCATGATCCGACCTATCCACAGATTAAAATTTGTGAGACGGTCTCATACAAGTGTGACTCATATAGTTTTGTTCTTATGTAAATTTAATTTTTCTTGTAGTAAATTTATCATACATAACAGAAAAATTATTAATTCGTAACAGAAAAATTCGTTGTTAAGTTACTGAAATTCAAAAATATTTAATTTATCAACGATTTTTTGACTAAGCTTTTGGTACCAAACGTATTCAAGTCAAGACAAAACTTTAACTTTCACACTTTGATCATGTGAAAGCTCCAAGAACACAATTAATTAAGAAAGAATATATTATTAATAATGGTGAGCAAATTCCATTTTTAATTCAGTTATCGACTACTATGTCATTATCACATTTTTCTAATACACTAAAAGTACATTATTTATCTACTGAATGTAAATTATACAAAATAATTAAAGGGATAAATGATAAATGATAAATAGGAAAGGCAAAGTATTGAAGCTTGAAGAGACAAAAGCCTTGTATTAATGACTTGTGTAATGTGATTACCAAGTAGATGATGCAGACAAATGAGAAAACATTTATACTAAACCCAACCCATAAGCGCTCCATGAAAAAAGGATGGGTGGTTAAGGCCATTTTATTTCGTCACATTTTGGTCGCCTGCACCCTGTTGCGCCTTGGTTGTTTGAGGCCAAGTGCTGAGCTCGGCCTCGAGGCCCAGCTGGCCTTGGGCACTCGAGGCCAAGCGCTGAGCTCAGCCTTGGGTCCTCAAGTCCAACTGCAAGAGATAGCCTAGCTTATTTGTAAATTATTCGTTTAATGTACCATGGTCCATACAATAATTTGCGTACAAAATTCTCATTCATTGCAACTCTTACAAAACATAATATATTTTTAGTTGTAAACTCACGGTATATTAAAATCTCTCAAATTATTTGTAATCTAAAATAAATAAATGTTGATCAAATGTTTATCATTACGTCAAAAATTACAACTACTAATGACAAGTATACAACTATATTTTCTTATACTTATGTAGCAACCGTGTCACGCTTTGATGATAGGATATTGGACTCAATTCTTTAAACATTTGTCCATTTGGAAATATAATGGATGTGTGTATATGAGTATATCTACGGCCAATAATTGAAGCACAAATATAAGAACGCGTTGTCTCTTTGGTTTGTGGATTTGGTTAGTCTTCACTAGCAGCAGTATTTTACTTTTTACTGTTTTTAGTCAGCCAGTCCATAATTGATAAACATTAAAACACATGATTCACGATTAAAAAAATGAATACATTGATAAAATATTTAATATATAACACCAAAAAAAAAAAAAAAAAAAAAAGCCCATAATTGATAAACATATGATTCAGGAAAAACATGACCAACGGCATAAGCCCGCATGTGTAGCTCAACTGGTCATAGAGGTGAAACTTTGGAAGAATGACCAGGGATCGAGTCTCACCAGCAACCTCTCAAAGTGAGCAAAGTGAGAGATGTTCTTTGTGCGCAGTGAGCATCAGTCTAGCCCCTATGGTTCATGTTCAGTTGAGTTTCCACAAAATTGTGGAAGATGCAATTTTTTCTCAGAAGTGAGATCTCGAGTAAATGGTTACATCCGCTTAGCCTTATCCCCCTCTAGGGGTATTTTAGTGATAGGTTCTATAGGAACTGGACGATCCTATTTGGTCAAATACCTAGCGACAAACTCCTATGTTCCTTTCATAGACAAGTAAATCCCTTAGGAATTCCAAGGTACTCCTTTCTTTATTAAGAGGTAGCGGATTGATCATTTGAGGGGAAGTAGACGGATCGGGTCGACTTAGAAAATGAAAAGATTTGTCCAAGTTATACCTTTCGTCACCACTTTGTGGAAAATCGTTAGGTATGAATATGTTAGATACTTGTGACCATTTTTTTAAATCTTTTTTTTGAGACCTACAATTTTCGTCCAAGAAGACGAATTCTTCTAATTCTATGAATTTTTCTAGAATACTGGACGATCCTATTTGGTCAAATACCTAGCGACAAACTCCTATGTTCCTTTCATAGACAAGTAAATCCCTTAGGAATTCCAAGGTACTCCTTTCTTTATTAAGAGGTAGCGGATTGATCATTTGAGGGGAAGTAGACGGATCAGGTCGACTTAGAAAATGAAAAGATTTGTCCAAGTTATACCTTTCGTCACCACTTTGTGGAAAATCGTTAGGTATGAATATGTTAGATACTTGTGACCATTTTTTTAAATCTTTTTTTTGAGACCTACAATTTTCGTCCAAGAAGACGAATTCTTCTAATTCTATGAATTTTTCTAGAATACTCTTTTCTTGAATATCATTCAAGAAAATCAAAGTGGGAGATAAAGTAGCTGGAAGACATGGAAATAAAGGTATCATTTCAAAAATTTTACCTAGGGACTTATTATGAGATTTATGGACACTATCTAATAGTAAGAAGTCTAAAAAAAGAAATTATTTTTATATACATTCGAACCACTGTTGGCCATCGTTTCATAGCTATTTTGCTTCAATCTCTTTCCTACAAAATAAAAAAGATGAGACTTATAAATGGATCAATTTTTTTGATTGCTATTGGAGATTGGGAATAGATCCCCGTTCACGTTTTTTCTTTTTCTTATCAATGAATAGATCTCTTTACTTGTATGACTTAGATGTCTCGTATTTATAGAAAAAGCGATTCGATTGATGGGAAATAGAAAGCCTTTCAACCAATCGATACGCCCCTGGAGAGCTGCTTTTGCTAAAACTCGAGCAGTTTCTTGAAAACTCGTTTTTTTATGGTATTTTATTTTACGTTTCCGCGTCACAGCAATTAGGAATTGCTGATCTATATCAAAAAAAAAAAAATAAGGAACTCGCTGAATTCCTTCCCGATACCTCCCAAGGAAAATCTCGAATTTGGATCCCAAATTGACGGGTTAGTGTGAGCTTAGGAGTTCGGGGCTCTCCGGTTCAGCTAGGACCATGGATTGGCTAGTTCCTATTTGGAAGGTTGCAATTTCTTAACTGCCGCAGTGCTGCCCCTATGGTTCATGTTCAGTTAAGTCACCATGATTTACATCCTCCCAAATGCTCTGTTCGGCCGGAGTGTGGGGTTCAGCTTGGAAGAATGATTCACGAAAAAAAATGAATAAATTTTTAAAATTAATTTTAAAAAAAAAAAGTATACAAGTCAGCCTTACATGAGATGAATTTTAAATATATAATATTTTTAATGAAAATATAATTTTACCAAGTGGGTAAATATTACATGTTCAATTGATATCACTTATTATTTAAAAATATTAGTAAAAAAATTCTTAATGACGTATTGGAAAATATAATATTTTTATTACAAATTTCATTTATTTGAAAATGTGTGGTTAATAATCCCATTGTGTTTGGGCAAAGTGCAATATGAAAGACGCGTGCAAAAA